ACGTGTTCCAGATCCGGATTACTTCCAGTGTAATGGGGGGATGGGTCGGCCAATGCTCAGTGGTCTCTATCGTGTAAATCGTAGACAGAATAATTTTGCTCACCAAAATCAGCCTCATCCAGGTATTTTTTTTCCGGATTTAAACTAATTTTCATATTTCTTTTTTTTTCCGAAAATTCTAAAAGACCAGTTTTTTTGAAGTGTAATACATTGATTTTAAATAGAATACTGATTTCTAATGATATTTTCTTTTTAGCTCCTATGCCAGTGCGAGAAACAGGCCTGGTCCTAGAAGTACGCCGAGACTTTGGCCGCGTTCTTAGTCCAACGAATTTTTCGATGCCAAATATTCACATTTACTTCTCGCTTGCGACATTTGTCAATGATTCAATGCTGAGCACAATTACCGATAACTTGGCTGATTTATTCCAAGTTGGAGCACATGTAGGCTCATTTTTCAATATTACCGAATTACTTTAATATAAAAAAAAAAAAACCAATGAGAAAACGAATAACAAAGAATGACAGAAAAAGAAAGGCTGTTGAAACCAGTGCGTATAAAGAAGAAACCAGCATTTTTATTACACCGTTGGTAAATACACTTCGATGTATGTATTAAGACTATCAAAGTTAACACATAAAATCGGTGGTGATAATTTTTCACGTATGTATTTCGATGAATATGTATAAAATCCCAGGATTGTATGCAAAGACAGGCGTTAGTGAGGGGGAGGGGGTGGGGGAGGGCGAGGGGGCGGGAGAAGGGTGGAGGGGGAAAGCGTAGAATCCGTTAGTTCAGCGCCTTAAACTCACTTTTTTAACTTCTTCCTTGCTATTAAACGGAAGTGTTAGTTTATATATTCTGAGCAAAAATGTTGTACTAAAAAATTTAACTGTTCGCATATGATTACCAAGAATATTAAGACCACTCGGGTTGTCAGTGTGGATATCCTCTGTTAATGATGTCAGTGGGTTGATTCCAATCATCGAGCGCAGCTATGTCAGGCCCTTCAATCCCGGGATGTTACTTCCGATTGGTATCCACCGCTTGTTCGATGTATGTGCGTTACCATTTCGGGTTCCCCCAGGTGGTCGTTTACTTTCTCAGGGATACCAGTCACTGATACGCATCGTCTACCGGTTGTTGACAAGGCAGCAACATATCCTGCCCAACGGATTTTACTTTCTCGCGTGGTCACAA